AACTACACAGAGAAACCCTATCTCGAAAAAACCTAAATAAATAAATGAATGAATAAATAAATAAATAAAAGTGTTCTGGAAGTTCAAACACCTGTAGGAACTATTATGGACTACATCACACACGTCTCATTCTGAAGCCCACAGTCTTGCCTCCCTCCCCAACAGCTTCCCCACTTAGGGGCTTTATACTGAGAACCGGAAACCCCTGAAAGGAACTCCGGAACCTGAGCCACTGTTCTCTTTTGCTTTCTGATCCAGCCCACGGGCTGCTTGCGTCACAGGACAGCTGTGAATGAGACCCAATACATTTGTAAATCATATTGCAATGTTAAAAGGTTGGATACCTTTGGACTAGAACCCCAAACTATGAGGCACTTAACCCTTTTCTCTTCATGAGTTGATTATCTCTGTTTATTTTTTATTATAGTAGTGAAAAGCCGTTTAGCACAGGTGGCCTCGTGTGTATGTTCTGAAGTTGGCCAAAGCTTTGGACGGAATTGCCATAGTTCCAGTCAACATAAATTCAAACAGGATAAAATTGAAAGTACAAGATTTTTATACTTTTCCTTTTTTTCTTTGTTTTGGTTGGTTGGTTGGTTGGTTTCTTTGGTTTGGGTTTTGGGCTTTGGGTTTTGGTTTTATTCAAGGCAAGGTTTCACTATGTCGCTCTAGATGTCCTGGAACCCTCTGTGTAGTCCCGGCTGACCTTGAGCTCACAGAGATCCATCTGCGTCTGCCTCCCAAGTACTAGAACTAAAAAGGCCTGTGACACCTTTTTTCCTTTTACTTGGAAGTTTCACCCTTTTTCACATCACTTTGTGACACACAGTGCATCCTAAAGCTATCCTAGAAGCCAGGAGAAGGGACACAGAAGCCACCTCTTGAATGGGATGAATTTCAAAACACTGTGGCCATTTTTAGTCCACACAAAGTAGATACCCGCTGTCTATTGAGCCCAGGCCCAGAGGGTTAGTAGTCATTAAAACTTTGAGCTATGCAGATACTAAGTAGCCTCTGGGTAAGAGTGTAATAGTAATTTATAAATAATCCACTTTCTAATGCAAACCTCAAAGTCAGATATGGTGGTATTTTATTTGTATTGAAATGTGATTTTAATTGTATGTTAATAAATAAAGTTGCCCGGGGGTCAGAACTATTAGAGCCATAGCAAGAGCGTGGTGGTGGTGGTGGTGGTGGTGGTGGTGGTGGTGGTGGTGGTGCACACCTTTAATCCCAGCACTTGGTAGACAGAGCTAGGTAGATCTCTGTGTGTTCAAGGATACAGCCAACCTTAGAGACACACGCCTTTGGTATCTCGATACCATAGAAGACCTGGAGGGCTGTACATACAGGCAGTGACGAGGAAGTCATGTGTTTGGGTTTACAACCAATGAGAAGGCAGAACAGAAAGTCTATATAAAGACAAACACACAGGAAGCAGGCTCTTTTTTGGAGAGGTCTCTTGGCTTAAGAGGCTAGCTACAGCAGGCGGTAAGGCTCTTAGCTCTGATCTCTTGGCTTTCTTCTTTGCATTGGTTCTGTGTTTCTTATTTAATAAGACAGTTGGTTACATCTACAGTCAGAAGATACTAAAATGACATTGCTACAAGGAGTCACGTGGAAGCCGGAAGCCAGTCTAATCACTTCATCTGAATAATGAGGAGTCTGAGGTGTGGGATGACCATGTGTCTTGTCCAAATTCATGAAGCTTGTTCCGTAAGAACTTTGGCCAAATGCAATCTCCTGCCTTCCAGCCATATGGCCTTGATATTCAGCCTTCTGCAGCAGATGGTCATGGAGCCAAAACAGACCCTTGTTATGGCGTACTCACAAAATGAATGAGGTTCCATATACCCATGAAGATGAGTGGATAGAGTTTCAATAAAACCCAGTCTTGAGTCACTAAATAATAACATAAAAACAATGTTACACGGTTTCCTAGTTGTCCTGCTTCAAAATTTAAAAGTCTTGTCACACTTGAACATACTTGTACATGGCTGCTCTACTCACTAGGAGATGGAAACAATCTAGATGTCTACCAGCAGATGAACGGATAAGAAAAAGTGTGGTACATGTGCACAATGAGGTATTATTCAGCTGTAAAGAAAAATGAAATCATGAAATTTGCAGGTAAATGGATGGAACTGTAAAAAGTTATACTGGATGAGTTTTTACTTAGGCCCAGAAAAACAAATGCCATACGTTCTCTCTTGTAAGCAGATCTCAACTTCAAACCTTTGCTTTGTATGTTTAATTTGAAGTCAGGAAATTAGAAAGGGGCCTTCAGTGGGGATAGCAGATTATAGGCTAATCAAAAGTATGGAAGACGAATACTAGAGGCAGAAAGGCTTCACCAGAAAGGAGCATAGTATGAGGAAAATTAGGGGTAAAGTGCAGAGCTAACCCAAAGGAAGCAGGTATGAAACACCATGTGGACATATTCTGTCACAACCCAACTTTGAAGACTAACTGGAGGGATAGTGAAACACACATAAAATGGAAGAAGATGGGGATTCTGAGAATTAAGAAGATAAATGAGGATCAGGTGGGAGGATAGAGAAGCCCTGGGGGTCTCTAAAACAACACCAGCTCTGGCCATTGTCGTTGGTTAGTCACCATAACACATAAGAAGACTCTATTCCTGGGGCTGGAAAGATGGCTCATCAGTCACTCATCAGTTAAGAGCACCTACTGCTCTTACAGATCTTGGTTCAATTCCCAGCCTCTACATTGGGCAGCTAACAACTGCCTGCCTGCAAGTCAACTCCAGTTCCAGAGGATTCAACACCCTCTGCTGGCTCCTATGGGCATTGCACATAAGTGGTGCACATACAAGTGGGTACACAAATGCACATAAGTAAAAAAAATATTGTTTTTTAAAATGTAAAAGACTAGAGAGATGACTCAGTGGTTAAGAGTGCTTGTTGCTTTTCCAGAGGATATGGGTTCAATTCCCAGCACTCCAGTTCCAGGGGATCTCACACCTTCTCTGTGGCCTCTGATGGCACCAAGCATGCACACAGCACACAAACAAACATGTAGGTACCCATACACGTAAAATAAAAAATTTCAATGACTGTATTGCTGAACACACCATACACTTTGGCTTCAAAACATAAAGAAATCAAACTAAGCAGGAAAGAAACATGCTGCCTGCTGGCTAGCTCTTAGTGCCAGAGGCTGCTATCCTAGCTACTGAGAGAGAAAAGGGCCTACTCAGAGCTAGACCCTGTGTGCTGTAATCCAGACATACCAGGCAAGGGGTGTACACTGGTTCAGCAGAAGCATGATTGTTATCAGATAATTAACTACAAAAGTAAATTGGGATGGGTGGTGGTGCATGCCTTTAATCCCAGTACTCGGAAGGCAGAAGTAGGTGGAACTCAGTGAGTTTGAGACCAGCCTGGTCTTCAGAGTGGGTTCCAGGACAGCCAAGGTTACACAGTGAACCCCTATCTCTAAAAAAAAGTACGTTCGATTTGATTTTTAAGGCCTGTGTCACAGGAGGGAATTTGATGCTTGGTACTGTAATCCTGGTCAAAAGCCTATGGGCTAGGGAGGCCACAGGCTATCTTAGTGACTTTTCTATTGCTGTGATAAAACACCATGATCAACACAACTTATGAAAGAAAGTGTATTTCTGATTTAGGACAGTTAGAGTCTATGATGGCAGAGCAAAGGCATGGAGACTAAAGCAGCTGAGAGCTCACATCTTGATCCACAAGTAGAGGCAGAGAGGGAAGGCACTGGGAACCTCAGTCTTTTGAAACCTCAAAGCTCAATCCTGTAGACAGATTTTTTTTGTATGCCTCCAGCTCACAAAAATGACACAGAGGCTTATTACTGGTTATAAAAGCTCGGCCCATAGTTTAGGCTTATCCCACTAGCTCTTATAACTTTAATTAACCCATTTATATTAATCTATGTTTTGCCTCATGGCTTTTTACCTCTCTCCCATCTTTTACTTCCTCTTTCCTTTCTGTGTCCTCTGGCATCTCTCCCACACCAAGATTCATCTCTGCTTCCTCTCTGCTATTATTATTTTATTAAATGGTCCTAACATCGAATTGCCTTCTAAATATTTATGTTTGTATCTGTAGAACTGAATCACATCAAAGTGGGCAGTGGGCAGCAGTGAATGGAGAGACATGTAGCTGGTCAAAGTTCACACTGAGTACTCAGCCCTGAGAGAGGCGTTTATGTTAAGCCACCACCACCAAGGCTCAGGGAAGGTTTCAAAAGAGGAAGTGGAGAGAATATAAGAGCCAGAGGCTGGGGAGGAAATGCTGTGAGATGCAGTCTAGATATTTATGCTGGTCTAGTGGCCATGTGCAAAGTGGACCAAAATGGAGGAAAAGAGAAGCGTCCACATCGGAGGTCACCCTGATATAAACTGTGGGGAGGATGGAAAGGCAGGCACCCAGCTGAGGCAAGCCTGGGCGAGGGGAACAGAATTTGTTAAAACGGCAAGAGGGAATTAGAAACTGCCCATTCACAGTGATAATAACTACAGAAAGAGGAAGAGCCTGAATGTCCCCTAGGAAATTAGTTCTACAGAGCAAGCAGCAGTCCCCAGCGTGGAGGGAAAGTTCCATGCGCAGTATTTCAGGTCTGTTTTCCTACACTCGGCTAAAGAACCAGTGATCCACTGGGCGGTGGTGGCGCACACCTTTAATCCCAGCACTCAAGAGGCAGAGCCAGGTGAATCTCTGTTAGTTCGAGGCCAGCCTGGGCTACCAAGTAAGT